TCATAATTCAATTGGATAATTCCCTTTCATTTTTCCTTTGCAATCGTTTCAAAATGCTATGTTCATCTGCAATAGCCTATTATGAAACATGATCATAATGCAATAATCATAAATAACTACATTGTTGCTGCCAATCTACTAATATACTACCCAGCAAACATTTTCTGTTATTACAGATTTACTGCAAACAATAAACAGATATGTCGATAAAAAATTTGCTTTGCAAAATGTCAGTATTCATCATGCAAAAATACAATAGTATCTATCAAAAACATCCATTTTTTTTTTGCTTCTAACAAAAACTTATTTTGTCTTGAACATCGGGGGAGACAAGATATTTTTATTGTATTTCTTTTCGCATTGTCTCTAAGTTTAATGCACTGTGTGTATCCGAAACTCCTTTTATTTCAATTTTTGACTTAAGGATCATACTCATGTTTGCGTTCTCACTTATAATCAAAAGATTCTCATTCCTTTTATCAAATTGACACCAGAAGCATATAATAATTGACTGCAAGTAGTTATCATTCGCGTCCTTTCCGTTATACATTATAATTGTAATGTTACGATAATTATTTTAATGTTATCAGCGTTTAGAGATCGAAATATTTATTGTATTATGTTTTGTTTATTTTCCAACCGTTATTTATGTATGTTTTTATTATTGAGAGAATGATCCGATCGCGAAACGTCTATTGCTTCTTTATTAAAATTTCAACTTTTTCGTTTTCTTTTTGTTTTTTTGTACTTTCTACTTATTCTGTTCTGTTTTTATAATAATTTTTTACTCGTAGCCTTCTTTTTTCTTTGTTTTTTTATAGATTTTTAGTACTGGCAGTAAATTTTGAAATACAGCCAGAATTTTATAGCGTTTTCAGCCCGACCGATTTGAATTTGCACCAACTTGGATTAAAAAATGCTCCACTATTGATTGCACGTTCTACCAATAGAAGAACACAAAATCGTTACTTCAACTCAAATTAGTGCAAACTCGGTCGGGCCGAAAACTTGTATATTATAAACAATTAATGACAACAGAGAAAAATATCAGGGCGTTCCTCGTTTTGAACCCAGACTTGCTTGGTTTCTCCTCCGAGTAGATTTCCATCCTGCCACTGAGCCATACAGCCCTGACGCTGATTATGTCGAAAACGCTTTACCCAGTCAGAAATAATAATGGAACATTGAATCGATGTCGATTTTTGCTATTTTTAATACGTTTTCTAGTTTTGCTACTAACATAAGTTGATCTGCTTGCTTTTCTTATATCTAGAACTAGGCTAACGCCCCATGGAGCAGAAATTTACAGCAGAACGGAACAGTGCGACCAGTCACAATCGTACAGAAGAAAACAGATTTGAACTGAACGTTCATTCAACTGAATGTAAATGTTAAATAAACATTCATGAAACTTCTTATTTTCAGAGAATGCCTTCCAAACGCTGCAGTGTTGCAATTTCCGTTTTACAAAATACTCTACTGGCCGTTTCTTTATGAACATTCTAATGACCATTTTTAAACTCTCAACGAACTTCCGCAAACGCTCATGTAAATGTTAAACAAACGTTTATGAAACTTTTCATTTTCGTCAGGGAGACGCTTATTGATTTTATTTTTTACGTTAGAAATAATTTAATTTCAATATAATTTGAAATTAATGGAAATAGTAGTTATTACCATGCGTAATCTTAAAATTGTCATCTCTGCGACAAACCTCCAATCATTTCAATTGCAACTCTTGATCTTTAGGGAATGAGAAGTACTTCACATTCTTATTAAATACATAATTTGAGCGATTTTTACAATTTTTTATGAAACAATTTGGCATATTGACATTTTATTGATATTATTAAGATATGTCGATACGACACGTACGATGGCAACACTCAGTGTCGGCCATATTGAATTTACATCTTGGGTAAAAGCTGATTAGTTCATTGCTCCCCACTATTTTTGAACGACTGCGCATCCACCGAAATGGTTCACTTTGTATATTTCCACTATGGTAAAAACTAACCAATTACAATCGAGCATTCCCCTGTCGTTCGACTGTAACAGGGGAATACTCAATTGAGTTGGTTGGTTTTTACATTCTGATCCGATGGAATTAAACTCTCGGTGGAAACTAGGACACTGTTACAATTTGCGAAATAAATGAAAGTTGCACATAACCTCCATATTATATGCTGTAGATGTATATTACAATCATTGTCTATGTAATGATAGTTATATATTGTTTTTGTTCTTCTTCATTAATATGGATACAATAGCAGAATGTTAATGATTCAATGATTACTGTAAATATGAAAGAAGATTAATCAGCATGTTCCATTCCATGTTCTTTCCCTTATGCCCCAGTAAACGCGGAAACAGAATGAAGTTTCAGCTGATCGTGAGATAAGATTTTACGATTATGTTAAAAATATTTTAATGCTAAAGAAGTTTTAATATTTACCAGTTTATTATATATACATTATTATATTTACATTAAAATATTATTTCTATTATTACAAGTATTATAAATAACATAATATAAAAAGTACGATTTTATATTATTCTGCATGTTCCGCTTATTCCGCTCAATGGGATATAAAAGGAAAAGCGTAAGAAAGAAAACAGAATGTCTGTAATTCGTCGTGTTGATTCCGCGAGTTGCGAATTTCTATTGCCAATTTCCTATTGATTGGCTATAGAATAAAAAAAACAGGGGATTGATTCTATATCTTCAAACAAGGTGAAAATTACAAAAACGAACAAATTTACTAAGTGTTGACCAATGAAATAATCAGTATTCTAGTAAATTCGCTCACTTTTATAATTTTTACCTCATTTTAAGATACAGAATCGATTCCCTGAAAATCTCTCTATACGCATTTATCGTACAACAAAAACGCACAAATAAAATAGCATACTAACTGTAGTTACGTTTTGAAACGGAGGGGATCAATTTCTGTATCTTTAAACGAGATAAAAATTACAAAAATGAGCAAATTTATTAGGTGACCAAATTATCAGTATTCTAGTAAATTCGTTCACTTTTATCATTTTTATCTCGTTTTAAGATATAGAATCGATCCCTAGTTTACATCTGAAATTACGCCTAGATAACTCTAGGATACATTTTTATTATAATATACGTAACGTAACCTATATAGCTTAAGTGGGAAGCACAGACTCTTGCATAATGCATAGCACACAATGCATAAGAAAATGTACCAATCAAATTCTTCGTTTTCTTCCTTTCCATAAAGAACTCTGATTGGTTGGATTTCTTATATCTTATGTGTATCCGTTATGTAAGAATCTGTGCTTATTCCAGATCTACAATATTTTAAGCCTTAAGTCGTAAGAAATTGACCAATTACAATTGAATTCAAGGAGAATAATCGACTATGATTCATCCATTTGGATATGGCTTAAGGTTTAAAACTCTATTGTAGATTAGAGTTATTTGAGGATATTCCTGAACGCAACTCAGCCCTAAAGCCGATTCTACATTAGTTGCAAGCTGATCGCAAGTTTGTTGTGACAGCTAATCTGAAGCTTGCATTTTGAAATCAACGTTTCATATTGGCTATTATAACAAACTTGCTATCAGCTTGCAAATAATGTAGAACCGGCTTAAGGTGCATTCAGTTTCACGCATGATGCGCATAATGTATCATTTATTCTTGTTCATCGAATGTTAAACAAGGATAAATTACATAAATATATAAAAATATAAATAAGGACTCACAATCTTAAAAACAATAATTAGAACTTTAGAATAAGGCTAATGAAAGTCTAACGTTGATGTAAGAACGAAGAGTTAGAAGATGTAGACAACACTCAAATGTTGGCAGTTGTCTTTATTTATTATATCGAACGTTTCGGCTCAATTTGGAGTCATCTTCAACGAAAAAATAGAAAATATAATATTACATTAAAAGTAAATCACTCGCAAATTAGCAGAAATGCAGTAATTAATACGCTATATAAATTATTAACATTTTATTGTTAGTTCTTAATAATTAAAAATCAGTAATACTCGTGTGACTCACCTCAACAGGAAAACAAAGAAGTTCACAAACATTGATTCAAAATTTTCATGAGATATAAATTAACACAAATCGTTTCCTCAGATTAATATCGTGTTAGTTCATCTTGACGTAACGTTTGAAATTGAACGTTATAAAGTGGACCCAGCAAACGAGAATGAATTAAAATGCATTGAAATTTTTTTATCTAAATGCGTATTTTAAATAGTGAATATTTTTTTTTAATTTAATTGGATTCAATTGGATTCAATTAGATTCAATTGGATGCAATTGAATTGAGAAATTGCATTTCCTATTCAAAATTTTGAATTGAACAGTATTCACAATTGTGTGTTTATGCACAGAAAAAGCTAATATTATTTTTAGATTGAAAGGCATAGAGAAAGACATATACTCCAGACATATGCTCCATGCAATTCCTATAAATGAATAAAAATGCATTCAGAATTGAAAAGCATTCATTTTAACATTCGTGAATCAATATCTCTGAAAATCTGAATCCATTTCAATTCATTTCAATCGATTCTCGTTTGTTGGGAACTTATAAACAAGCAATGACAATAAATAAGAGAATCAACCTATAACTATTTTAAATCTCATTATTGTTTTAATGTATCTAGTAAGGAAGCATAAGAATAATACAAGGATTCTGTCTGTTTTTAAATTAAATCCATTCTGCATGTGTATATGAAGCATTTCTGAATTTAAATATTTATTGAGAAATCTTTTCTTATCAAGAATTTGAACATTCTTCCAATCAAATTCATGATTAAAACCAAGTCGAGGATCTGTGATCACTGATTGGTTCTTGTTACTGCTTGTATAATTGCGATGCTCAGATATTTTCATGGATAATTTTCGACCTGTTTGACCAACGTATGATAAATGATGCATTATGTATATCATGTGTGAAACGGTGCATCTCTGGATATTTATGCTAATGTGATCTTAATATTAAAGATTTATCGCGTCGCATGCTCCAATGTGCTTTGCTATAGCTTCTACTCACTTCAATGTGCGCATTAGAGTGAGTAAATGCTACGGTAGGAGCATATTAAAACTTGCGACGCGAACAAATCTTATGGTTAGGCTTATCGAGGTTATCGATAGTCGCTATCGATAGTTTTCTATCTCTATTACGAGCACACCATGTTTACTTGCATCATGCCATGCTATAAACAGTCAAGCTTAAGACGTAACGGACGTAGTTTTAAAGTTCAAGAAATTCTCGTAAGAAATTTGTAAGCATGACCGACAACAAAAATGATAAGACGAAAGTCGATCTCGGATTGCTCGAGGAAGATGATGAGTTTGAAGAATTTCCCGCGGAAGGTAATTTTTTTAATTAACATATATTTATGTAACATAATGTTCGAAATCGCTGATTCATCAATATCATTAACAAATCAGATTTGGAAAATAAATTTATTAACTAGATTGGACCGCAAAAGATGAAGACAGCGATGATATCAGCGTCTGGGAGGACAATTGGGACGATGATGACGTTGAAGATGACTTCAATCAACAGCTGAGGTATTGCTTTGCCATAAACTTGTTTATTGTTTTGAATTTCACACATATATAAGACAAAAAGAGACAACGTAACGCTTGATAAATAAAAAAACGTTAAATATTGGATTGTCCAGAAAATTCATGCCGACTAACCTGTAAAATTTAATAAATGTATACTAAAATTTAAATCTGACTAATCTACTAAAATTTAAATCGGCACGAACTTTCCGGACAATCCAATATAACATATTAAATGAAAATTATCCTCTTTTGACCTTTAAACAGATGGGAGAAGTGATCCAGTTCTAGTTTTTCTTTCTAAATATTTTATCTACAATTGTCGTTAACTAGCAATAGTCAATGACAGCCGCATTTTCTTCCAGGATTATTCTGTCATTAGCTGTTGCTAATTATCTTGGTGAAAATTTTTCTCATAATTTTTATACAAATTAGAATATTTTTCAGAAATACTCGGAAAATTTCAAAATATCATTTTCATACAAATGAATTCTGAAATATTCTAAAATTTCTCATCCCATAATTTTTAAAAAGTATTTTTAAATTTTTTAGATTTTATAACATTCATCAGAAATTATACTTACAAAATATCTTAAAAATCTTACAATATTTCATAATTAATATACATAAAAAATTTGGAGAAAAAAATGTAGATTTTCTGGGAAATGTTCCAATTCGTATAAAAAATACGAAAAAGTTAAAAAATTATAGAGAAATTCTGAAAAATTATATGAAAAATTCTAAGAAAAATTTTCATCAAGATAATGGTAGCGACAATCATCTATAAAACGTTAGAGAATCCCAAATTACAAATATAGTTTTCTTAAATCTGTTTTGTAATGGAAAATATGAAATATTGCCTAAAAGTATTAAGCTGATTCTACAATAAGTCGATAGTCGATAATCTTAAGTCTTATTGGTGAATTAGTGAAGTTGGCCAACAGCCAACTTGTACAATTAAGATAAATTTTCTTATGACTAATCAAATTCAACTTTCCTTCTCATTAGTCGAGCTAAATTCATTATACAACCAACAACTAAGTAGATGCGAAAAATCATAGTTACCTATTTAGGTTAAAACTTAAGATTTCCGACTACCGACTCATTATAGAATCAGCATTAAAGCTCCATATTTTTACATTCTTCTGTCTCATATAATAATGTAAAATTCTATGGCTAATATCCAGTTTTTATTTAAAATTATTTTAAGTTTAAGAGCCTCTTTCACCAACTTCTGGCTAAATTAATTACAGAATCAATTCGCAGAAACAACAGCAATTTAATATATCAGAATATTTCCTCTCTCTTCCTTTTTTATATTTAGTTCTCACATTGGCAATCGTGGTCATTGAATTAACCATCAATTAGCATTAATCGGGATTGGTGAAAAAGGCTAAGGGTCTTTTCTTCTGGTTAAATTAATCAATAATTAATTCACAAAAGTGCCAACAGTAATTTAAGATATCATAACGTCTCTCTGTTCTACTTCTGTAGTTCTTACGTTGGCAATCATGGTGATTGAATTAATCATTAATTAGCGTTAATTAGTGTTGGTGAAAGAGAGAAGCCCTAAGACATAAACTAATTTTAAGACTATCTTAAGACATTACTTAAGACAATCTAAAAGAACAGCATATGAATACCAGGTGTACTTATATTAGGTGTACGAATAGATTATGAATAATCTAAATTTTTTAATTAAATTCGAGATTCATTTTAAAAGAAAGTAAAACAAATTTTTCAAGCCATCTTTCAGGCTATTGAATTCCATCTCGGAAAAATGCTATGTATTTGGACACGATAAAGTCGTGAAGCTATTTTCGGATCTTATCCATTGATTGAAAATGAGTATCGGACAAGGCGTGTTGCATTGACTGGAACAAATGACAATCGGAGCAATGTTTAGTGAATGTGCTGAGTGCTGCAAGACGTCCCAGCCAAGATTCATTATAGTGTTTTTTATCTTGGAAGCAATGTGATCCTGACGTCATGCAACAATTTTGCAGGACATTCTCCAATTCTACGGACGTTTCTATTCTATTCTTGACTCAAGCGATTTGTTTTACCCAGTTCCAACAGTTACAGCGGATTGCTACAAATGCTAATTGATCCACTTGAAAAAGCATTTTTTCGAGATGAAATTCATCAGCTGCCTGAAAGATGGCTTAAAATTATAGAAAGCAATAGCGAATACTTTGATTTAAAAATTTGTTTTACTTTTAAAATAAATCTCGAATTTAGATACAAAATTTTGATTACTTCATTTGTATACCTAATAACATACATTATACTAATAAAAAATATAACTATAAAAATAAAAATTTTTAGGGTGTTTTGAGTAGAGTTGGGAAATAGCGTGTTACTTGTAATGACACATTACATTTTCATTACTTGTATTTGCTATAACTTGTATCGTTAATTTTTTATAGATCATGGCCGTCACGAACAATAAGATTATAGGTACTAAATAAACATAAAACTTTTTGCCTATTTTTACTTCATTCACTATTCTCGCTTTAGCATAAGAACATTAAAATATCTATTATATAAAAACTATAAAAACTAAAATATCTATTATATAATAAAATACCGTAGAATTAAACATAAGTATGTACAATACTAATAAAAGATAAAAATGTTCAAAGATAAATATCTTTCTAAATGTTTTATATTTAATTTATATTCTGTTTTAGCATTCTGTCTTAGAAGCCTGTTCTAACATTTAAAAAGTGTAATTATGCAGAAGACAGGCTTAGTCATTGATTTTAATGAAATTAAGGCCATGCATTTTTGCATAAAATGAATGAATCTGACAGATTTCCTTATCTCAATAGTCATCAACTTTAACCATTAATATTTCGGTTCGCCAGGCACTTATTTTTCTGCCAGATTCGTTCATTTCGTGCAAAAATGTTTCGTTGAATGATACTCTGATTTCATCAAAATCGATGAGTAGGCCCGTCTTCTGCATAATTACAAAAAAAGTAACGAAAAGTAATGATCTTTTGTCATTAATTAAATAACGCTTTACTTTTTAAAATCGATAACTAGTTACTTTTTATCGCAAGTAACAGTAACAGTAACACGTTACTTTTAAAAAGTAACTTTCCCAACACTAGTTTTGAGCATTCTTAGCAATTTGTATATCTTTAGATCATCTACTTAAAATCTGTACGAAACTGCAAAGTGTACACAAAATTTACAGTGTTGTAATTAAATTTCAGAGCACAACTAGAGAAGCAGAAGGCTACAAATGATGCAAAAAAAATTAATTAATTTGTAATGTATGATTAATCTTATTATTTTATAAAATAAATATATTAAATATTAAGCTCGTGTGTATATCTATATTGTGTATGTATGTGTACATATAAAACTCTTCACAATCTTTCGATTATAATAGAGCTGCAGTTTAGAAAGGTTGTATAACACGCACCATATAATATGTTTTACGGGAGCACACAATTTCTTTGTACAAAACTTAGTTATTAAATATAAATGCTATACTTAGGACCCTATTCTGTAACTCTTAATGACAGTAACAATATCATTATATATGTTTTTGTGTAGTACATGATAAAAAAGTTGCGCACCAATAATACAATGATTTTGTTACTGTCATTAAGAGTTACAAAATAGAGGCCTTAGTAAGTCCAGAAATGCATATAGTGCCTTCCCAAGAGTGACTCGTTTCACTACTATTCAATTGAAAGAAGTCATTATTCTCTAATGGAAAAAATACTTGGCATATCTTATTGTAAATATATGATCAGGTACAGTCTTCGTTTTTAAAAAATCTGTCGGGTTTTTCACAAAACATAAACGGTCAACATATCGCTCTTACTTTAAAAGTCAAAGTGATTAAAAAAAATTAAGAAAAGAAACTTGATAGAAGATTTTTTCAACTTGATAGAAAATTATTAAATCAAATAATATCGACAGAAAGAATATATTTTTAATATATATTTAATATATATTTAATATATATTTTTAATATATGATGAAATGTCATTTTTGTCATATCATATTAAACCGCGATGTGAACATACAACAGTTAGGTCGTTTATTTTTGATGATTGTATAATGATCGGATAAGATAATTTATTTAATTCATTTATAATTATTATTCGGAAATCATCTTTTTTAAATTTTGTCACTTTCGAAGTGTGGGAGCGATATGTTTTACATATGGCACATATCAATTTTTTTTATATAATTATTTTGATACAAATATCTTAATGACTCCCTCACAGATACATTGTCGAGAGAATAAAAATGTGCGAATCTCACTAAATTATCAAATCTTCTATTTAAAGAACTTAATAAACATTGAAATTAATTCCTTGTGGCATCATTTGTTTTACAGGAAATCAATAATTCCGATATTAGTGCATCCAACATTTGCATATTTAAATCTACATTGATTTTTTTGATTTTGTATGAACTTAACAAATAGTTCAGAGCGTTGTGTATATCATCCTCACCGAATATCAATTTTATATCGTACGATATCTTTTCCTCTAGTATATGTAACAATTTGTCTTTCAACTGTGTATCATTCTGACTTGTGTTATTATGTGATGCATCCCAAATTAACGAAGAGCCACTCAGAGAGTCAAATAACCAAAGAATTATTTTCTGTAAATCATAAAATTAACAAATATAATAACTGTGAAAGAAATATAATATTCTTTTAAATATAAACCTCACCTGTAGGATTGGCTCTGAAATATTCCCAAATAACAATTTAGTCCATCTAACGATTGCTTCTTGTTGTAGTGTGTTGTTACTAGCAATGCCTGCTAGAAGTTCACAAACCAAATCTATCATCGTACATGTCAGTGTTAAATTCGAATCTAATTCGTCTACTTCATCTAAAAATATATAATATTTAATAATATTTAATCTTTTATTATTGTAATTACAAAATACAATTTTATATTATTTTATTTCAGACAACAAAAAAGTAATACAAAAAGTTATTAACAATATTATCGTAGCTACCATCATATGAAGTATTAATCGTCTCCCACCAGCAATCTAATAACTCTGAATCGCCACTGGCTTCTATCGAGTCAACTGCTTCGTAAGCTGTGTCTACTGTAAAATATTCTGTCCTTTCCATGATCAGTTGCTGTAGTTCACAAGCTAGACTTTTCTATGAAGAATAGATATTTTGAAATATTAATTTTATGTATTATATTATACATATGTAAGTTATAATTTGGAAGACATAAATCAAACTGAAATAAGTTGCAAATTTAGTCTTCAAGGATAAAATTAGGTAGTTTCAGACGATGTGCACAGTGGATAAAATGCAAATTCAGCTGGACAAAACTTCAATTGTTAAGAAATAATAATAAAATTGTATTTAATAAATAATTAATATTTTTGTAGTCGCTAATTTTGAATTTTGATGTAAATTTAAAAAATTAACTTTTTTTGTTATTTAAAAAAATGTGTAACTGGGATTTATTATAATTGTTAATACAAATTATATTATTACAACTTGGTCTAAGAAAAATTAAAAAATAAAAATTGCAAACATTAAAGCAATAAAATACAAAATAAATAAAAAATGTATTATAAAATTTTAGTCACTTGTACATTGTAACTGTTTTTTTTTTTTAATATAATGTAATTTTATGATAGCGCATTGATAAGCAGTTATTTATTTACTTCCATTTGCCCGTTTTAATTTGTTTAAAAAATAATTAAAAATTTTTAAAAGCTTTCTAGTATATATTTTCATCTTCTTTTTCTTCGGAATCTTCTTTTTTTCCTTCGTCAGGTTCAGTTATATGCAATCAGAAGATGTGCAAGCATATCTTCGAGTAACTCTTTGTTTTTTATAAATCTTGAAGAATGAATTTTTTATATTACTGCATACTGAATATCTGCAAAAGTTGCAAAAAGTAGCACATCATTGTTGCAATTATTTAAAATATATATTACAAAGAATACAATTCTAGTTTGCATCTTTTTGGATAAATTTGGCAAAAATGTTTTCTATTCAGTATTATGTACTAATTATACAATATAAAATAATATTTACATTTTAAATTTCTTTCAATACATATATACAAGAATTTGAATAAAACATCTAACATAAATTAAAAGAACGTAATTTTTCCTTTAAAGAGTACATATACGTCGTTTGATAAGTTTGGTAAATTTCCATGAAATGGCGCTACAATCCATTTGATGACGCGACATCTCGAAAGATCCACTTTTCGAACCCCTTCAGGCCAAATTTCAGCCAGAAAGGACGCATAGTTCACGTTTGGTAGTCATTTGAAGCGAGATTGGCGCGCAAAAAAGTGCTCTTCCATCCATTATAATAATAAAATTCATCGTTATGTACACTATCGTTGTGAGAATTGTTTATAGATATTGTTTATATATATAACGTGAATACACCATTGTTCAGTAGTATAAGAACATGATTCAGTATAAGAAAATGTAAATACATTATAACGCTTGGTGATCATCAACGGTTGCAACAGCGCCTTTTAAGATCATTCTGTAAGATAACTTTTAACCGTATTCACGTTTATATATCGAACAATTCTCACAATCATCCACAACGATGTTACACAATGTTACATACACAACAATGAATTATATATATTATTATAATTGCTGGCTAAATCATATTATTTCGTCAAGTTATTGTCATCTGTTAAATGTAAATAGTTGATTTTAAATTGATTCAAGTTTAACATTGAAAATGATCTTGGGAATGAAACGTTATAATAAACGTTTGTTATAATAAATTTTTGTTTTTTAATAACACATTAAGACCTGACTTGGCTTGTAGCCCTATACTTCTTAATTTTATAAATTATTTGAACCTTTTTTCTTATATATTTTATGATCAAAGATATAAAATATATTTTTCAATAAAAGTTACTCTGACAAACTGTTACTATGAGCATTGTTATGACAATAACAGATTGTTTTATTGGCCTTATGAATTTACGTTATATAAGTATAGACAATACTTCGCTACACTGATTGATTCATTAAAAAATATTAAGTTTTTCAAGTTTTGTCCTGCTAGATTCATATTTTATCCCACTGTGCAACGTGGCCAAAATATGCTAACTTTATATTCTTATTGATCTACTTTCATATGAATAATTACGCATGTCATATGTGCATGCGTGCGTGTGAAATATTTGCTAATGTAATGTATGTATCAGATATGTAAATATGAAATCGGAATTTATCAATAGATGGCCATAGCAATATAGTTGCCGTCAGACGGCGCCATTGACGCCATTTCCTTGTTCTGACATCTAACAAAGATTTTCAACTCACAATCATACAAGTTTCATACAACAGTATAATTTATAATAGCGTTGAACATGTCGAATTTTGCTTGGAAACTATGATTTTCGTACAGCATTGATTTTCTGTTACCATTTGAAGAAAACTGCTGCAGAATCGCATCGAATGTTTGAAGCTTACGATGAGCATGCTCTTGGTAAATCACAATGCTTTGAGTGATTTAAAAAATTCAAAAGTGACGATTTTGACGTGAGACACGAAAAACGTGGAAAAGCACCGAAAAAGTTTGAAGACAGCGAATTGCAAGCATTGTTGGATGACGCTCAAATTCAACAACTCGCGGATCAATTGAATGTGACACGAGAAGCCGTTTCCATACGTTTGAAATCCATGGGAAAGATCCAAAAGATGAGAAAATGGGTTCCACATGAAATGAATGAAAGACAGCAGGAAAACCGAAAAACCACTTGCGAAATGCTGCTCGCCAGGTACAAAAGAAAATCATTTCTCCATCGAATTGTGACGATGAAAAGTGGATATATTTTGAGAATCCTAAGTAAAAGATCATGGGTAACTCCAGGCCAACCATCGACTGCAAGGCCAAATCGCTACGGAAGACAATGCTCTGTGTTTGATGGAGTCAGAAAGGTGTGATCTATTATGAGCTGCTAAAACCTGGCGAAACCGTTAATACTGAACGCTACCGACAATAAATGATCAATTTGAATCAAGCTTTGTATGAAAAATGATCGGAATATCAAAAAAAACAACACATTTTGCTTCATGATAATGCACCATCATATATAGCAAAACTGATCAAGGAAACGATCGAGGCATTTGGTTGGGAAATACTTTCGCATGCGGCTTACTCACCAGACTTGGCTCCGTCCGATTACCACTTATTTGCATTGATGGGACACGCACTTGCTCAGCAGCACTTCACTTCTTACGAAGATGTACGAAAATGGCTAGATGACTGGTTTGGCTCAAAAGAGCAACAATTTTTTTGGCGTGGCATCCACAAATTGTCAAACAGATGGAAAAAATGTATAGCTACCGATGGGCAATACTTCGAAAAAAATATTTTTTATCATTTTCATACAATAAACGTGTATTTTCTATTAAAAAATTCCGGTTTCATATTTACATACCTTCATACATATATATATATATATTATACATACATATATATTTCGTCTAAAACGATCTTTACGATAACATAATATATAAAAGATAAAACAATTAAAAATTAAAAAATAAAATTTCTTTTGTTAGATTAGATTTAAAATAAAAATTTGAATTACATTTAATGCATGTGTTATCTCTTATCAAAATATTGTATATTCTAATATAAGAATTTTATTGATTTTTGATATTGTAAAACATTAAAGTTCCTAATTATCAGGATTGGATAAGTTAAATTTCTTTTTAACTAAGTTAAGTTATAGTTAACAGCCTTGAAAATTTAACTTAATTGAAATATAAGTTAATCCATAATAAAATTAATTGAATTAAAAGTTCAGTTAATAAAAAAGTAATTAAAAAGTTAAAAGTTAAATTTGGTTCGAACGAACAATTAAAAAAAAAGAAAGTTTGATTATTTACATGATTTTTCCATCGTATTTTCCTTTCTTACAGCTTATTTATTAGAGAATTTGATTATTTTTGTTAACAAATAACGATTATACGATATAAAATTATTAAATTATATACTTATTAGCATTGTATCTAAGGATTAACAAAAAATTAAAAGTTAATAGTTACTGATAAAATAAACTAAATTAAATAAACTAAATTAAGTTAAAATTAATTAACTTGTTAACTTTTATCTTTTTAACTTAGCATTACCCAACCCTGCTAATTATATTTAATTCTAACTATATTTTTTTTCTAAAAAAAATATACATATAATTTATACATACAAGTTCTACATTACCGATTTTATATCTTCGACAAATCTCCAAGGTATGTCAGACAAGGGCATCAAAGTAGGTAGAGGGGAAGCCTCTTCTTCTTGATCTAGTTCGAATCCTGGCACAACAGTTTTCAACGTATTAAAAACGCCAGTCACAGTCTTGGCTAGAAATCGATCCAAACGAGGCGCTACCGCGTCGGCTTTCTTGCCCGCGCTACTACTAGGTCGAAGAAAGTGACGCAGTTGTGGCGGACATTCGTTCGCCAATCGCGTACATAACGTTTTCAAATACATCTCCAGTTCGATCCGGCCACCCTCAGGTAATACCAATTCCAACATGATATTTGCTAATGATGGAATCTGGAATTTTGAGCATAATATAATTATTAAATTTAAATTACTATTCTGAATTTATTTGTATTAATTTATTTTTAACTTTTTAAAATATTTTTCAGTTGCGAAAACCTTACTTCTTCTAAACTGATGTGTAATTGAACAAAATCAGCATATTGTCTTTTGACTGTAGCAGTGGTTGTTTCGAATAAATCTACCCCACGTTGTTCGACATCATCAAATTGTATACAATAGTACAATTGCTGCGAGCCGTCCGTTGCAGTATGGAACTCAGTCCAAGGAATTGATAAATTCATAAATTGATTTCCTTCATATATCACATAGGATTTTTCTTCAACGTGTCTGAAATTTACAAGTCTATGTAACAATGTAATTGAGATTAAACATTCATTACTAACAATGGTGTGGTTGCTGTTGATTTCTGTTGCAACACATTTCTAAGCCTAGCGATAGTCGTAGCGAAATCCGTCGGCTCTTCGTATACCGGTGATATCTTATCTTCATCTAATTCCAGATCAGTTATGCTTCCTCCCCACAGACCTCTATGCTCCATAGAGAGACCTTCCAAACACAGAGTTGGTCTTTCTGGAGTTACCATTAAAACTGCATTCTTGTTTTCACTCACAGTAGTAGTTGCAGTTGGACTAGACTTAGATACAGATTTTAGCAATTGCTGTGGAATCACAGCCGCTGTCACGGATGTAATACCATCACTTAAAGCAACACTTATAGTACCCTAAAAAATTAAATTGTATGTATCACGCACACATTGTGTGTGTGTGTGTGTGTGTGTGTGTGTGTGTGTGTGTGTATTACTATATATAATGTTATTATTAAAATTTACATTGATATTTTGTTTAACTGGAGCAATGACACTATCAACTTTGTTTAATGGAGCCTCCAATAATATTAACATATTCTCAATCAACCAATTTGGGCAGCTTATTGTGTCTATTATTATTAAAAGTCTCTTTGCTAAAATAGATAACAAAAGTTTGCATGGTAATGAACTAATTAATTCCCATTGTAAAAACTCTTGTGCCAGAACAGTAACTAAACGATATAGCATGTGCTCCAATGTCGACGTACTGCGAGATCCAGGGTGTAAATATTTATAAGCTTCCTCCATGCTAGCTGCAGTACCCTTTTCAACTCTACGTAATGCTCTGTGGAAATATAGATATGTACTGATATGAATAAATAATTAATTTTGCTAGATTTGCAAAGATAATTCTTGAGATGAATATATTCGTACCTATGATATTCCTTTAAGTGCAACAATAACACATTTGCCAATTTATTAGTAACCTTTATTTTATCTAAAAGACTGGTTTTCCAAACAAGCCTAGTCAAGAATTTACTCAACAAGTCCTGTGCTTCATCAGGGAATGATCTGTCATTGCTTATATTCCTATACCACATTTCTACATACTTTGCATTAATCTCTTGTGTTATTTCTATTATGTTCAGCGTTTTTTTTCTTGTCAAAGAGCTTTCCTTACAGGTATCAAATGTTGCATCATTATTGCATGTAATATTACCTTGTGCAGCATTCAAGTTCTTTTGGTTCTCACTTTGACTCTTGTAAATGACTTCTATATTTTCATCTTTGTTTACAGAAAATTCCGAACTTAACTGATTCACTCTTTTGTATATCCACTTATTTATAAATCTTAAAGGAATCGGACTGTTGGCTTTTAATGTGAGACGTAGCAAATAACAACTCAACCATACAGATATAATTGTAATAAATACTGCCCAAGAGATAGAAACGTATATTGACAGAGGTGTGAGATCTATCCACCCTTGTACAATCAAGGATAATATTGCAGCTGCTATACTAAAAATTAGTAGTATTTGATTCAACCAACTCATTGGTATAATTTTCTCCATTTTGTACACTCTAATGCTTTTAATTAACTTAAGTGTCACATTTTGTGCTACAGTAATCAGAACCTATCAAAAGAAAAGAGATATATTTAGTTTCAGCTTAGTGTATACCATATAATATTGTGTTACACCATATAAAATCAAGTTATATAATTAAGAGGTACACATTTGCTTTCGAATTGGTAGAATTATGAAAAATTCTGAACTTATAGAGAAAATCTAAAACATTGTACGAAAAATTCTAAAAAAATCTTTACCAAGGTTGAGCCTTTCAAATACTGTTCAACTATTATTTATTTACTTAATTATTTATATCAATAATTATCGATAATTTTAAAAAACGTACCACATATGTGTCTTTTCATTTCATACACAACTATTTATTTTATTGTCATTCTTAAAGTTCTTTTGTAGGTGATTAACCTTGCCATCAACTCGATTGCTCCATTCAGGGGTCACGTCGCAAGAAGATTAATGGCACATACACCTAAAGACCCTAGAGTTCCACTAATAAGAGTTAAGATTCCACAGATTTCTATATATACTACTAGATTGTTAACTTGTTTGAAAAAGTGACCCCCAATTTTGATGTAACATTATACGCATGCGTCGAGAACCGCTCCGCGTGATCGCGTATTCTGCACATGCGTACACACTATTTTAACAGATTAACCTATTTAATAATAAACCCTTATTTAAGTATAATAATCGTGCTGTATGTAGCACGATAAAGTTACATACAGCATTATACAAATCAAATATCAATTTATCATCTCCAGCCTTGAAAAATAGACAATGTACCCTAAGAAAAGTGGATGTTGCTATGTAATTTACATCCACTTTGTCAGAGGATAGTGGTGCGCGGCAGCATTTTGCGGTCACATGTTTTGAGCCGTTCTTTCTCAGATTTCTCTCTGGTAATATATATAGAAATATTAAGATCACATAGACATATGAATATTTAGACGGTAAAGCTAACTTACGGGCGAGGGGACCAAAATCTGTATGACAGAGAGATCAGCCATCTTGTGTAGCGACATTTTAGGGCTCTATTTGAAAATCGATGTATGATATTATTTATATTTTCAGTGCATAAAAATAGGATTTTATGTGAAGCAAAGTTAATTCAACGTTGTGCAATTAAAAATAATTTTCTGTTTATATTAAAAGAAGTAATAAATATATATACCCATTACTTCTTTTAATATAAACCGAAAATTATTTTCAATTGCACACAGCCGTTAAATGTTTATAAATCAAGTAAAAAAGGGGCTATAAGCTAAATTATTTTAATGCTAAATCAGAGAGAGAGAGAGAGAGAGAGAGAGAGAGAAAGAGAAAGAGAGAGAGAGAGAGAGAAATAATATAAAAAAAATAATATAAATTTCATATAATTGAACAAACATTTCAACCTATATACAAGGTCATAATTAACATTACAAAAAATCGATAATTGCAAGTAGTAACAGTTAAGGCCGCATAAAAATCTTAATAAAATCCAAAATCATGTTAAACATTATTAAAATAAAATATATACCATAATACTGCCTCGAATTTTATATTAATAATATTTAACATATGGCTAGATATTATTAGAATTTTAATTTTTATACGAATTTTTATACGAATTGTACTTGTAATTATCAATACGTTATGATATTGATAATGATACACCTTATACAGATTGAAACGTTTATTCAATTATATGAAATTTAATTTCACATTATTTCTGAATTAGCATTAAAATAACTTATTAGCTCGTAACCTCTTTTTTATTGTTTATTTTATATTGAATCTTTATTTTTATTATATAGGTTAAATATGTATTGATGAAAACTTATTTCGACATTTTGCTCTTGATTAATTTGCTCCTTAATTTTTCTGTAGCTTTTATTGATACAGCCGATTGCAATATAATATAGTATTGTTGATGTTTTATTTTAGAAAAATTAATAAAATTTCGTATGCACAATATATTAATTGCTTTCCACACAAGAAACTGAGTCTAAAGCTGAGTATTTCATACTCAGATAATGACGTATTTGCTTAATTTAGTAAAAAGTTATCACATGACAACACAGGTTCGAACCTGATTTTTAAAGTGAATTTAAAACGAAACTCACTAAAGCACACAGTCTCGATATTGTGATTATAGGCAAAAACTCAATTAAATCTTACTTAGAATGAAATAAAAACAACGCGCAATATGAGCTATATGACGTCATAAGTGAGAATTATCTAAGAATCGATGTAAATGGAAAGCAATATTGTTCTTCACGGTATCCAGCAGCGATACACACAGACTGCATTCTATTTCATGCATGAAGCGGATGATTGTGCATTATTTATTCTTTTGTTTAACATTCGGTGAATAACAAAGATAAATAATGCGGCATGCATGAAACAGAACGCAGCCACAGTTACTTTATTATTTTACTAGAGAGCATCAGTGTCGCCAAACAATATGGCAGCCGTCTCTTCCCTTAAAATCTTCACCCCTGAAGGCTCCGTCCAGATATTCATACGTCCATGGTTAAGACGTAAGAGCGGAAGAACGCCATTGCTCGGACACACTCACAGAGTATGCTACAAACTCACGTTTTTACTAACACGTACACAGTATTTATACAATACTCATGTTTTCATTAACATATCGCATGGTCCCAGACGTGGCGCTGACCAATCCCGAGAGCAAATCACTGTTGTTAACTCTTGTTATAGTCATTCTAAAGCTGATTTTTCATACGCAACACACTGCGGCAGCAATTCGTTGTTGCTTAAAAATTTTACGTGAGATGACGCACTTACGACGCAAAATAATTTTATCGCATCTCATTAAAGTTCAACCGAATGAACAATGAGCAGCAAAAAATTTAAAGCTAAGAAAATCTGTAATATTTGCAAAAAATATAAAAATTGAATACATTTACAATAAGTACAATGAGTACATTTTTATTAAAATTTGAAGTGATGGGGATATTCTAAATTCTAAATAATTATCTGAAATGAGTTGTAACTGCACTAACAATTATTATATAATCACAAATTTTTATCTTTTTAAGTTTTCCATATTAATTTTCGAGCTAAGCAAATAAAAGACACATATTTGAGATTAAACTTAATATGCTATTGCCACGTATATATATAGTAACGCAACTCTCTGTCGGCATCTTTAATGTTAGTATTGGCCAAAATAGAGTACGCATGCGTGAAATAAGTAAATACTTAAACACAATAGGCACAAGCAGTAGGCATAGGCAACAAGAAATAACGAGCCGCCTAATTAGAACTCTGATGTGATGTGCAGCAAAACGTGATGCGGTAGCTAATAAGATTACAGCTCCTAATATGTTCATTGATTACCGCTTCCAGTGGAAGAAGTCATAAGTTCGATATTATATCTCAGAGCTCTGATTGGACGACTCGTTATTCCCTGTTGCTTGTGCCTATTGCCTGTACCTATTGTGTTTAAGCCTTCAATTACTTAGTGTTGCCACGATTACATCTAAATTTCTTTCTCTTTTCATTCTTTTTTCTCTGTCAAAATTCTCACAAAACTCACTAGATTTATTTGCATCGCAATCCAATGAAAGGTGTGTTTGGAGAGACACTATTCGCGCTATGGACGCAAACGCTACCAATGTTGTTCTTGGAGCCAAGAGCACGAGTAAGCGTTAGCAAGCTTCATGAACGATCCTAGCATAGCGTTGGTAGCGTTTAACCAGAGAGATATAATCGAGATTAAGTTAATGTAGGAGATTCTGTTTTCAATCACTAACCAAATTTTTCCCTATAATTAAAATTTTTAAGGTAAAGTATTTGTAAAGTATTTGTAACGTAAATTTTTTATTTTCTCGTAGTAAATAACAGAACGCAATCTCAATTGCAATCTCTATGATAGCTTGCTGCTAGGGTGAAGTAAACAATGTAAAAACTAGATAAAAAAATTAATAGTTATACTAAGTAAATTAATCAGATAAAAGGAAGAATGAAGAGTTTGATGACACTTGAGAACAGAATCCCCTTAAACATTAATCTAACACCTAACTTTGACGAATATTAAACGCTACCAACGCTACGCTAGGGTCGTTCATGGATTTGTAAACTCTAATCTTATCGCTACCTTGTGTACCTTATCGCTTGTTTGTGTATCATCTTTTCAAAGTTTCTGCGAACGTTTAACTCGTGTATTTGATTTCATTATAAACGTGAAAATCAGAGGTATTTTGTTATTGGCAATTTTTAATTCCCGTGTACGGAAAAAAGTTACTATTGCAGTATAGCGCGGCAGGGTATTCCGTTGCAGATGCTTAAGATCCTTATTAGATGTAGATAGCTTCTTCTTCTGAAATCGACAACGAATGCTCAAGGGTTCTTCCTTTTATCTGATTAATTTACTTAGTGTAACTATTAATTTTTTGATCTAGTTTCTACATTGTTCACTTCGGCCTAACGGCAAGCTATCATAAAGATTGCGATTGAGATTGCGTTCTGTTATTCACTACGAGAAAATAAAAAATTTACGTTATAAATATTTTACAAAACCTTAAAAATTTTAATTATAGCGAAAAGTTTGGTTAATACTCCGTAAATGAATGACAAACTGCGCTATACTTGCCTTTATAAGTTGAATATCTTACTATTCACAATATCGCCAGCTATAATAACCAATTGTATTATTAAAAATGAATTTTATTAAAATATTAAAAATGAAAAAGAACAACTTATCGAAATCGATCTTACTAAAGTGAAAATAATGCAATGTAAAATTTATGGAAAAGGAAATTTGCTAATTTGTATTTGCGATCAGATTAACTTTAAAGTCACACTTTTTGGATTAGATTGAAAATATTAACATACATAAAAATTATGAACTTTTTATAAATAAATTTTATAATATTTTTGAATTTATTTAATATTTTCGATTTTTTTATTTAGGCCTAATTTTAAAACTTACCATTAATTCTTAATTGAGATTCAACTTATTTTTCATCTCTTTCCAATTCTAACATTAGAAAGAGATGAGGAATAAGTTGAACTTTAGAATTAACCATGAGTTGTGAAACTGGTGCCCTATTTTTTAGCACACACACACACACACACACACACACATATATATATATATATATAAAATTTTTGTATATATACATATATACAAAAATACATATATACAAAAAAACATATATACAAAAATAACAGTTTCTCGATTATGATTAATCGACTGTATATAAAATTGTTACTTTTGTAATATTTATTCAAGAATAGAGCCCCTTAATTTTCAATCAGCTCAGCTTTTTCAGATTTTCTATTGGAAGATACGATCCAATACGGTACTATTCATGTCATCATGTCAGAGATCCATTCCACAGTATAATCATACACAATAGTGACACTGACTGTCGGCACCTTTAATATAAGTGTTCTTAGATCACATGATTCACCGCCACGTTGTG